TCCATCAGGGCTGCAGTTGTCCGTCGCACTCCAGCCAATACATCGCAATCTCCTGAGCTTCGTCTCCCATACCGGGAACGGCTTTAGGGTCTTTGCATGAGCTTCAGCCTCTAAAATTGCTGCTTCGTCCCTTTCAACTGACGCGTTAATCTTGTGCAAAAATTCCATCTCCAGCTCTGCAAATACGAAATCCGTCCGGAGTTCACGGTCCTCGTGTGCGTGTAAATAATTTATCTTGTTCTCATCCAGATTGGCGATCGATATGAAATTGTCTAGTGGTCCTCCGAAAATTTCGCCGCCTTTCCTTGCTTTCATGAAGCCAAACCAGACAAACAAGAGCGACACGTACAGAATACAGCCCAGCAACAGCAGACGCTTCCAGCGACGGATACGCGAAGATGACGACGACTTAGGCGACGCTGCACCTGCATAATACGGTAGCAGTGGGGCTTCAACATACAGCGGGTCTCTGTGGTGGTTGGTGGCCCGCGGACGCAGCTCCGCGACCATCGTGCGGCTCTATTGACACTTTGAAATGCATCACGGGAGAGTGACTGTAGGACGCTCGTCAGCATGTAATTGAATGTGTGCACCTAATTAATGTGGTACACATTTACTTGAATAACTAAAAATCGGCAACTTCAACCTACTCCTCACTGTGCGTGCATATGCTGCACGTGGTTCACTAGAATGACGGCGTCGAGCGTGACGAAGCGGCAGTGGGGGCACTTATGCTTCTCATATTCTGTGGAAGCCTGAACTTCCGTGGGAGGCATCGTCACGACTGGCACTGCTGGCTCCAAGCCGAATATCCTGCTACCTCCCAGCACTGCGATCGACCGTTCAAGCGGGTTCTCGGGGGCTTCAACAACGTCCGGGACATTATTGTTAGCATGAATGGATTCGACGTGAGCGACCATCATCACAGCATCTGGTGTGGCAAACGGGCAGTACGGACATCGATCACCTCCAGTCGTCGATGTCGCCGCCTGGTAGGCCGGATGATCTGCAGCGCCAATGATTCCAGCCTGCGCAGGGTACTGCGCCCTTCTAGTGGCGGCACCTTGCTTGCTTCGACCATGGATCCAGCGAGTGACCAAGGCGATAATTATCAGTAACACTAAGGTACACCCCACGATGATGGCCACGGCCCACGCAGACCAGAATGGTTCGCTGTCATCTGTATCAGTCGATGACCCTGACATGGAGCCAATGGCACTTGATGAAGCGACAAATGCAAAATTCTGCTTGTCCGCTAGCAGCACGCTGCGTCCATACACGACAGCTTCGACCACAATCCCTCCGTCCTTCCCGAGAGCTGGACTATTTGTTACATTCCCACTGCTGCTGGAGCTGTTGCCAGTAGCTGCAGCAAGGAGATCAGCGTACGAGACCTGAACCATCTCCACGTTGTTCTTGGAATCCCGTCCCGTGCTCGAATCAGCTGTCAAAGGACCAAACGTCTGATTGCCATTGCGAACACGAACAATAAGGTCTAGATCGTGCTGCAGTTGTGACGTCGCCTGGGTTGATCCTGGAGGGTCCGTCCACACGAGCGTTGCGCGTAAATCCACATCACGAGCGACTGTAAACGAAATCACCATCTCGCCGTTGTGGGCAACGGCCGGCTCGCTGTTTTCTGTCGAGTTTGGTAAGAAATACAAAGATGGTAGGTCATCACTGCTGTTGCCGCTGCTATTCCCGCTCACAGCAGAGAAATCCACAATGTTGGTAAGATTCGGCTTGCCGTAGCCCTGGTATACATCTGGGAATTTTACATCGGTTGCGTCGGAAGCCAAGCTCGAGCAGGAGACGACGCCACTTGCGGGTAGTGTAGCCATTCGCTGTTGCAGGGAGTCTCCACTATGAATAATCAGCGCCTTGAGCAGCGAAGCAGGTACAGTTTTCATGGCGTACGCTGCGTT